AAAGGGACTTTTTGAAGGTATGATTGAATGGAGCGCAAAGGGTGTAAAATGGTTATGCAGTTTTTGAGAGAACGGATCATCCGATTAGATTAATTCAAATAACATTTTGCGTAGACGGTGTGCATAATATGCTTTTACAAAAAATTAGTAATTTTGAAAATTTTCAAAAAAATAATTCAAATTTTCAAAATTTTTTACAGTATGTATTTATAATGAATAATCGATTTGAAACTATTTAAAACAATTATTGATTATTTTTATTCCTTGAATTTTTAAATACGCAACGGGAAGTTGCAGCAATTTGCCTTAAGGCACGATGCCATGCACCCCACTATAGTTTATTTATTTGCACGTTAATATTTGTAAATCAATCAATCTACATTTATTCTGATGAATGAAGCCATTGCATATTATTTTGTGTCACACAAATAAATAACCATAACTAAGCTGTGTAAAATCACCTGTGGAGATGTTATGTACATAGTCAGGGCCGGTCCTGCCTTGCATGCGATGCATGCAAAAAATGCGGGCGCACGCCTTAGGGGGCGCCAAAACGAGTTTCGGAAATTAAATTTATAATATAATATTTATATTTTTTATATAAAACCTAGAATTATTTGTATAAAATCTAGAATACTTAATGATTTATAATAAACGATCTAACTTAACTAGGGATACGGAGACACAAAAAGCATATTTATTTTGCAATGTGATATCAGTAGAAACAATTAATCGATTAATAACTCTGCAAATTAGTAAATAACAGCCCTGTTTATTGCTCAATCTACTAATTCAATTTTTTCTTTGAAGTCACGGTGGAATCAAAAAAGATAATATCTAGTGTTCAATCCCATAAGCGCAAACCTGCGAAAGATTAAATTAATTACTGGGCATTATTGACGAATAATTGCGAGCTGATTTAGTTGAAACGGAACTTATTAAAAAATATAAAAAAATTATAATCGGGAAAATAAAAAACGGGGAGTCAGTGCTTAAAAAATGGCATGTTTATTCCGTGAAATTGAATTGTAACTTTTGCTTTTGTTGCAAATGTTTCGCATCTGATGAATTTTGAAAGACATGGGTGGTGAGGGTTATGGAAATGGAACATATATGAAAAATGGAAGCAAAATTTACTTTGGAACGAAATTCTTAAGGCCTTTTTTCATACTATAAATTTAATAATTATTAACTATGCAGAAATAATACATATCAAATATAATAAGATTTTTTCTCAATATAGTTCAAGGAATGTGTAATTTCATTGCATTTTTTACTGATTTTTGGACAATACTTCTAAAACGCGTTAAAAATTTAACTTTAAAACAACAAACTGATACTCTGAATATGACGAAAAAGCAAAGATGAATATAATTAGGCTCTTACAATATCAATAAGGTGAAGTTTACGACGCAATTTTGGATATTGTAAATGATGAAAAATTAATTAAAATTAAAATTTAAAAAATCCATCATGAAATACGAGTGTTATCATTGAAAATGAAAAGCTAGTTTTTTAGCTCTCTTGGCATGATTTGCTCAATACAATAAATCGCATAATAAATAAGTAAAATGTTTTAGAAGGAAAATATTAATATTGCACATACGTTAGAAATAATTGAAAATTCAAAAACATTTGATTATAATCAACACGCGAATCGCCACGATTTTCTAAATAAATTTATAATCTATATATTTTATACGCTTTTAGATTATATCTAATTCATTGGGTACTAAATGCAGAATAATTAAAAATTAATTTTCAAAAAATATGTAAGTATTTATATAATTTTAATGATAAACTGTTAAAGCAGTTAAAACTAATAGGGGGAGGGGGCGCAAGAAACAAAGTTGCATGCGGGCGCTAAGGGCCCCAGGACCGGCCCTGTATATAGTCATAGTTAGAAATGTTTTAATGAAGTAATTGTGATTAGACTTAAGTATATTGTAAATGACTAATGGACTCATATACAAAGTCAATAAAATAAAAATAGAAGAAGAAAAAACTAAACAAAAATGCGATTTAGTGTTGAGCTGTATTAGTTTCATCTTTGAGTGAAATATCTCATTCAGCATTCCAACTTAAAACCAACTATCGAAATATGTTCAAAAAATTATTGCCTGAATATAGAAACATGTTTATTTGCCATTTTTTATAAAAAAATTCATCTGTCCCTTTTTACTTCATAGCAATTACACCCAATGTCTAATTTTGATTTATTAGTGATTTTCCGAACTAAAAGCTACCTTATTCATTACTCAATGCAAATTCAAATTTCAAGGCCAAATTGAAATTCAATTTTTACAAAGATAATATTTAAATATTTATCAGTAAAGTTGGAATAATTATTAATTTAATTTATCTCTTGTAGATTTTTTTTTTTGAACATAATATACTTTTTTAGTTACTATTATCTTATTTTTTACATCTTTGCTAGCGTAAAAGTTTACTTGTTTTTTTTTTACCCTAATCGCATGTAGTTTTTTATAGAGCTAGTATAAAAAATCTTTTGCATCTAAGATTAAAATATCAATAATATAAATTAAAGTGGATCTTTTTACTCGGTTAAATTTAGGTTCCGCCCTACCCTATATTTATATTAATCTTCATATTTATATTTAACTTCCCGAAGGAGAAGTTTATGTTTTCATCAAAAAATCCGATTCGCTAATTTTATGTTTTCTCGACGTTTCAAGCCATTCTGAATCGAATGAAACCAAATTTGGAAAAAGTGTGTGTGTGTGTGTGTGTGTGTGTGTGTGTGTGTGTGTGTGTGTGCGTGTGCACCAACAGATTTTTTGCCGTAAATCGCCGTTTTCTCAAAAACGGCTGGACCGATTTCAAAAATTTAAAAGCCATTCGATGTATCTCGATGAGGACTATTGTTTGTCAGTTTTGTGCGACGATCTGCCAAGCCGTTTCTTCGTAAATAGCAGAAAAGTGAAAACTCTTTCGTCCACGTTTTAGCCCGCAGTTATGAATCGATTTTAAAAATTCAAAAACCGTTCGAAAGATATTGGTTGGGAATCGTGCTGATTAGTTTTTGGTAGAGATCGGCCGGGCCGTTTTCTTGTAATAAAGTTTTCAAAAAAAAAATTTTGGCGATTTTTATGATTATTTTTTTGGCGATAGATACCATAGTCTTCTAGATCATACTAAAATATTACGGCCCTACGACAACTGGTTCAGCTTTGAAAATTCGTCAAAGTTTGCAAAAATCAGTATGATCTTTTTGGCATTTGTCAAAATTAGACTTTTGATCGACGTTTTCTCAAAAACGCCTGAACCGATTTTAGAAATTTAATAGCCATTTGATGTATTTCGGTGAGGACTATCGTTTGTCAGTTTTGTGCAACGATCTGCCAAGCCGTTTCTTTGTAATTTGAAAAAAACTTTTCGTCCACATTTAAGCTCATCCTACCGAACGATTTTAAAAAATCAAAAACTGTTCGAAAGATATTAGTTGGGAATGATGCTGATTAATTTTAGGTGAAAATCTACCGACCCGTTTTCTTGTAATTAACTGTTGAAAAAAAGTGTTAAATTTTCGTCCACATTTAAGCTCATCCTACCGAACCGATTTTGAAAAATCAAAAACTGTTCGAAAGATATCATTTGGGAATGATGCTGATTAATTTTAGGTGAAAATCTACCGAGCCGTTTTCTTGTAATTAAATGTTGAAAAAAAGTGTTAAATTTTCGTCCACATTTAAGCTCATCCTACCGAACCGATTTTAAAAAATCAAAAACTGTTCGAAAGATATCATTTGGGAATGATGCTGATTAATTTTAGGTAAAAATCTACCGAGCCGTTTTCTTGTAATTAACTGTTGAAAAAAAGTGTTAAATTTTCGTCCACATTTAAGCTCATCCTACCGAACCGATTTTGAAAAATCAAAAACTGTTCGAAAGATATCATTTGGGAATGATGCTGATTAATTTTAGGTGAAAATCTACCGAGCCGTTTTCTTGTAATTAAATGTTGAAAAAAAGTGTTAAATTTTCGTCCACATTTAAGCTCATCCTACCGAACCGATTTTAAAAAATCAAAAACTGTTCGAAAGATATCATTTGGGAATGATGCTGATTAATTTTAGGTAAAAATCTACCGAGCCGTTTTCTTGTAATTAAATGTTGAAAAAAAGTGTTAAATTTTCGTCCACATTTAAGCTCATCCTACCGAACCGATTTTGAAAAATCAAAAACTGTTCGAAAGATATCATTTGGGAATGATGCTGATTAATTTTAGGTGAAAATCTACCGAGCCGTTTTCTTGTAATTAACTGTTAAAAAAAATTTAAGCCGTTTTTCATGGAATTTTTTTTTGGCGATATACATCATGTTCTTATAGAACTTACTGTAATATTACGGCCTTACGACAAGTAGTTTAATTTTAAAAATTCGTCAAACTTTGCTAAAAGTATTATCGTTTTTTTATAAAGTAGGATTGATGAAGTATATTATTTACACATTTTTTTGATCAAGTCGATTATTTACACATATCGGGAAGTTCATGTAATTTGCCTCAAGGCTAAATACCAAACCAACTAGTTAGTTTTTAATTCCGCAGTATCTATATATATGCAATATAATTAATAGTATGCTCAAAAATTTCAAAGGGTGCTAGAGGTTCAACCTGTAATAAAAACTAAATAAACCCGCAATAAAAATTAAACTTATTCAAAAATCTGAATCGATTTTCAGTGAAAACGTGCACAAAAAGACGATAATTGACTAGTTAACGATCAGGTTAAAAGTGATTAATAAAATTGGATGGTGTTCAGAAAAATGAAAATTGAGGGCAGTATCTATGTATTTTTCAAACACGCATTTTAAAAAAATTAAGAAAAATTGTCCGATACATTATTAAATAAGTGTTTGAGCTTTTGCTTTCAAAAAATTTTTCAAAAAATTTCAATTGAAATTTAGTCAAAAACATTCAATTACTACAATAATTCTTATGACATAGAAATTTGAATAGAATATAATAAAAAGACAAATAAGCTTAATAGATGCATCATATATTTTTATACTAAATATATTTTGAAAATAATTTTATGATAAGTAGGCGAAATAATCTTTTCAATTAGGTTTCTCGCAAATAAAGTGTCTTCCCTTTAAGCAGGACACATCATTCCATCCCTCGATTTTTGAATTGAATAGTGCTTCGACACAATTTTCTTCTTCATTATAATTATCTGGTTGACCAGGAGCCCACTTTTGAAAACTCATTTCCTTAGCGTCGCAAAGATGCCATTGAAACGTGGAAATATTTAATATATTGTTACCAGCTATCCAAAATTGAGCTTGCTTCGAGTAGGCTGTAGAATATTTTACATAATAATTAATCGGTATTTGAAATAATTTTATATAGAGGTGAGGTATATAGAGAAGCGAAAAATCAGTGACAGTTTCATTTTAAATGCGTGTTTAGTTAAATATCAACTTACTCTCACGAGCAAATTCCCTTAAATCATGGTACTGCTGTACATTCTCAATTGCTGCCAATTTGCCTCCAACTACGTTCTCACAAAATGATTTTGCATAGAACCAATTCTAAGGGCAACAAGAACATATCAGATATTAATTAGAATTTAGAAAAAACTTGTAAATTTATATAAATTTTGATCTCTATAGTTTACTTTATAAATATTCATACCTTGTTGCCATGGACGATAATAAATTTTTTTTCTCCGCTGTTAACAATGTAGTCCGATACTAAAAGGAAAAAAATTGATTAATGGAATGGAAATAAAACTAGTGGTGTATGGCATCGTGCCTTAAGGCAAATTGCTGTAACTTTCCGTACCGTAATGAAATATTTGAGGAAGGTTAGTTATTTATTTGAAGTATATAAGTGAGCTTTAGAACTTTAGCAAATTATTTTCGATATTAAAAACATTTTTTTTTTTTAAATAATTTTTTTTTTCCGAAAGCTACCGTTTCGTCAACACAAGCAGAAAGTTTCTTGATTCATTCAAATTAAATGCTAAGTTCTCTCAAAATCTGCCATATTATTTTGCACATTAAGCTCGGTTTCTCAGAAACGTCTGGAACTGCTTTTCCCCGTCATTACGAATTGTATGTTTTTTGGATCATTGAAATTGGATGCCCCGTTCTCTCTTTGAAAATCACCCTTTTGCTTTGTATCTCCGAAATGGCTGGATTTGCTTTCGCCAAAAACTAATAAGCACATCTCCCTACTAATAGGAATCGAATGTTTTTTAAACCATTCAAATCGGTTGATCCGTGCGCCCGAAAACGTGGACAAAAAATTGTATCCTTTTTTACGGAAAATTGTATTGCCATATTTTTTCTGAGGTATGCCAAAATGTTCAGAAACCTTCAAAACTTGAAAAAATGTAAAAATTTTCAATTTCGATTTTTGGACGCTTACAATAAATTACCCTATGGGAAAGTTAATAAATACTTATTGGAAAGAATTGTATATGGTAACACCATTACTTTTGTTTACACTAGGCAACACGGCTGCTGCAGTATTATTATCAGTAGCAGCAGTAACTAGCATTGAATATATAGATTTTGGGATTCTAACTGTTCAGGTCGATAGTACCTTTTATCAGTAAATCGATATCATTGTGATTTTCGTACTCCGCTACAATTATTCGGCAAATAAATTGAATTGAATTAAAACAGTGTTTAATTTATTAAAACAAGTTCTGCAAGACATACAGTCTACGAATTTCTGGGAAAATACTTCCACATATCTTCCAAAACAATCAGCTGTTTCTGAAATTTTTTGAATAACTAGTATGTTGTTTACCCCTGTTTTGACTTACGAATGATCGTCGTATATTGTTTATTTCGATAATAACACAATACGTTATTCTGTGTCATGTCAACGAGAATCTGGACTTTCCCACTTCTGACCACAAATATTTATCCCCTAATAAATGTATAGTGATTTGTAGCCTAGATTCTTCCCATGATGTTTATTAATAAATCCAACGATAAACATTTAATTTTTTGCAGCGATGCGCAACAACTATAATTTTAACTGCAAATGATTATATTACATATAAATGCGAATGAATATATTACAGCTTGATACCAGGTTGCACGCAACGCAGGATTTGAACTGAAAATCTGTAGATGCAGGACTAAGGCTGTGCCATTTTGACGCATGTACATGAAACTATAGGTAGGGTTTGTCGATTTTTAGGAAAAAATATGGAAAACGAAAACATTTCCCTTAGTAGAAAATACTCGAACAAATTTTCAATTTATGAATAACCTTTAAACAAATTTGAAAATGACAAAATGTGGTCAGTTGTACCAGATTGATGAAAACACCGTTGCCAAGTTGCTATAGACATCTTCGTTTCACTATTATAAAAATATTTACATCTTTATATGTAAAAAAATATGCATAAACAATTAGAATAATTAGAATAATTAATATTATTTAAGTTATTTCGTCCTGATCAATTATTTTATTGTTCTACTGAATTGCATAAAAAAATTACTAGCAATAATATAGAACAGTTAATTGGTTCAAAGAAATGCCCTCGACATTTTTGACTGTATGGAATAACTGATTTGTGTGATTAAAACAACATTCGGATTGTACTCGATCGCGAGGCGTTTTTGCAAAAGGCACGTTTCGAAATGAATGGAGCGCAAAGGGTGTAAAAATGTCCTGCAGTTTTTGAGAGAACGGATCATCCGGTTAGATTAATTCAAAAAACCTTTTGCTTGTGTAGACGGTGTGCAAAAAATGGTTTTACAAAAAATTTCATAATTTTGAAAATTAAAAAAGAAATCAAAATTTTCAAAAAAAATCTAAATTTTGAAAACTTCAAAAATATCTATATTTAAAAAAAATCGATTTCTTACAAAAATTTGAGAATATTTTGAAATTAAAAAAACGAATATTTTCAAAAATTTCTGAAACAATTTAAAAAAAATATGTTTAAAAAATTTTCAAAGATTTAAAACAATTTCAAATTTATCAAAAGTAAAATGATCAAATTTCTTGTAAACACACATAAGTTTGTGGAATATGCTGGTCGGATATAATCATTTTCAAAAAATTCAAAATTCTCAAGCAAAAAAAAAACAAATTTATATTGTATTTTTGTTTACGGATTTCAAATATGGTGTTATTAATTCTAAAAAAAAATGAATTTAATATGCTTAATTTAATTTTTTCTTATTTAATATTTTTTGAAAATGTTCCAATAATCAAAACTTGTATTAATTATTATTATACATATTTATACATTTGCAAATAAATTATTTAATTCGATTCAATATCGAGTTTTACCTCTTGCTAGATCCATGTCTGCATCCACGCTGAATCCTTCGCTGCTGCAAAGCAGCTTCGCAGCGACAACAAGGAACAACACAATCTTCATTTTGCTGCTGAAACTTTGCACGTCTCGGTAGAACTGCCGGTGAACTATAAAATCGTAAGCTTAAATAGCCGTTTAATTTTTTGTCTACAATTCATTAAACTACAATTATTCTTAGAATTATAAACGTGCTTTTCCTAATATTTTATCTATAAGTTAAATTCAATTCAATTAGATAAGAATGAAAAAAATCGTTAAAAAGTTCTTAAGATAAAGGTAATGTCATATTGTAATAATAAATATATTAGTTTTGAAATTCATGACCAATGTTATGACAAAGCCATGTTTCTCTGCAACTTGCATACATTATGCTACTGAATTATATTGAATACTGTCAAAATGTCATGTATTTGCTGTGCATTCAGGCGTTTTACACATAAACTGCAACGTTACGCGTATTTTATGAAGCTGGGTCAGAAAGACCCTGATATCTAAGATTGTTTTTTTGACATTTGTGCGGTTTAAGGTTAGATTTTCTACCTGACAACCTGAGAAAAACGCCTGAACACCCACGTGGCTTTTGACAATATTTGGAACGATTTTGTATTGAATGTCTTTAATAACGTAATCTTTCCATAACTGGCAAAATCTGTCCATCAATCATAGAATAATATGGATTTTTTCGTAAACTAGTTGTAAGAAACATTTTGTCCTAGAGCAAGTTGCACGAATTTCCCAAAAGTAATATTACAACAAATAACAAAGCAAAAAATCTTATACAAAATCTCAAGTAAATCTTTGCGATGATTAAAATTTTATCTTTTCTAAATAAAGGCTTGCAAGGCTCTCGAAGTGATGCTTCAACATTTGCTATCATTGCCCTTTTCTGCAGATTCATATTTTGGATTTTGAGGCTATTCATTATTACTCCCAAATATTTTACTTTATCGCCATGCAGCTCAACATGTCCTTTTTTGGAGCTGACACTGATGTGGATGGTAAGTTTTATTTTTTTATTTATTTTATATGTATTTATTTATCTTGCTAATAAATTAACTGTTTATGTATTCAGAAAACTTTGGTTATGGACTAGCACAAACAAGTCCTGGATTCTATCCTAATTTCTGTCGGCTAGATATAAATCAGCATGATATCCAAATTTCCACCGAGGATATATATCTAAAGTAAAAATCGCCTTTTGTGGGCATTGCTGCAATATCACAATTGGTAGAGTAAAGCGTTCAAAAATGAATATTAACTATATTTCAGATATGGGTGTTCCAGACGCACGGTTAAGCGCGCTGCCTTGGTGGACAGGGTCGTAAATTTAAATCACCGCTCCACTGATATCATGCAGTAGCGATGTCCATTTTCACTTGAAAATATAGATGAAAAATATGTTTCCAATTGAAAATAGCCCATTTCGGGCACTGCGGTGAGAAATGGTAATGGGAAATCTTTTACACTATTTTTTTTATTTGAGTTGGAGTTTAACTCGTCTCACATATATGTCCTAGAGCCTATTATTATTACATCTCCAGATAGTTAGGACAATCGATGGATTTATTCTGAAAATAACAAAAGGTTTGTCAATTTATTATTATTAGTCAAAATGTGTTTGTTTTATAATTTTTCTCAAATTCTCTTCATATATAGATATAATTCTATTCACAATTTTGTGTGACAACACCTTTATCTGATGAAAGATAAAAGCTATCACTTGTTTAATTATACCTATAAATTAAAGATTTTTATAACATGTTCTTATAAATTGTTTAAGTGTCGTTAAAAAATATAATGACTCTTAAACAAATTACAAGTGATTTATGAATCATACTTAATACATTTAAAAATGAGTTATTAAGTCTATTTATAACTATATAGAAATATTAATAATATTTCTTATCAATTCTAAGATAAAAGTTGCATTGCGTTATGATGAATTAAAGGCTAAAAATATTGACCTTTTTTTCATTTTATTTAAGTAATTTTCAAGTATTTAAGTTTTTAAAAAATTCAATAATTTATAGAAAATACATTTTAATTATCGATTTTTTTCATTTCATTTCATTTTCATTTTATTTAAATAATTTTCATTTTAAAAATGCAATCATTCATAGAAAATACATTTTAATTATCGTTTTTTAACTTTTTTTAATGGAATTTTTATTTTTATGAACAGATTTTCTGTGGATTTAAAATTTCAATAATTTATTAATATTCATTTTTATGTATCAATTATCTGTATATCGGACTCAATACCGCCCTGGTATAATACCGACTAAAACATCCGCTTTGCCCTTGCCCCTGGTCCCCACGGGAACCGCCGTTAGGCATTACTTCGTGGGGGGAGGATCTAGAATGTTGTCATTTTTAACTTGATTTTATACTCATCTTTTAAATGTGTGTGTGTCTATGTACATTTGTGCGTATACAATTTTTCATCGACAATTTCGAAAACACGGATCAACCGGATTTGTGATTCAAAAGACATTCGATTCCTTTTGATGAGGAGACGTGCTTTTTAGTTTTTGGCAAAAGCAGGTCCAGCCGTTTTGAAGATACGGGGCAAAAAGTGCCAAAAATGTTAATTCAGTTTTTGAGAGAACGGAGCGTCCAATTTCAATAATTCAAAAAATATTTTACTGTATTGACAAAATGAAGGGTTGATTGATTTTTTGGAAAGGCAGGTCTATCGGTTTTGGAGGTCGAGTGAAAAAAGTAAAAGGAAATGGCATTTGGTGGTCAAAAATGACCATTACACATATGCACATCAAATTATCAGATATTTTATAGAGATTTCAATAATGTGTATGCATTTTGTTTAATGGTTCTGTACTAATGTTCATCAGTTATACTGCGATGCGGCGCTTACGCGCTTCGACATTTCTTTTCTAAAACAGTCACGTAGCACGATTGCTTTAAAAAAAGTTCAAAATTTTCAAAATATTTCATATTATAAAAAAAACAATTTTTTCAAAAAAGTAAGTTTTTTTCAAAAATTTCAAAAGTTCAAAAAATCTCATTTTCAAAAACAAAATTAGTACGGGAAGTTTCTGCAAATTGCCTTAAGGCGCGATGCCATGCACCACTAGTTTATTGGTTAAGTCGATTATTTACACACATCGGAAAATACATGCAACTTGCCTTAAGGCATAATACCACTTACGCCTAGTTCATTAACTACTAACAAACTATGAACTGTTGTCAGCGCCTGTCTACTTGCATGTGTCTACATCTAAACCGTTAACGAGTTTTTTTTTGCAACCGTCTCCGCTAAATATCAAACATCGCTTTCTGATGTGTTTTTTTCGTTTTCGCATTCGTTATTGTTTTTTGCGGACGAAAGTCGTAATATTTATTGTCGATTATAAAACGGCCATCGGCAGCATTTGGGGTCCATTTGCGGCTCTGATGGTCGACTGACCAATCAATGACCAAACGATTCGTTAATATTATTGTATTATATTGTCAAAAACGCAAAAGGCAAAAGAACAAAAAGCATTCGATCGGAATAGCAAGAATACCTTGGATGTGTCGCTAAGAACCTGTTTTGTAAACACTGAGGGACAGGGCTGGCCATCTGTAAACTCGAAGTTTGTCTAAAGTCGAACTATTTTCTGTGAACTCAATGTTTGAATTAATTTCTATTTTTTCTTTGGTTGATGAAAAATTTTAATTAAATTTTAACTATTTTTTGTATACTCCAATTTTGCATTAATTTTGATCTCTGGTTTAGTTGATGAAAAATTGCATTAAACTCAAACTATTTTCTGCTAAATCAAAGTTTGCACCAAATCCTACTTCTAATTTAAATTAAAAATTATTTATGGGAAAATAGTCTTTCGAAATGTACGACTGCAATATTTGTTAAAATAAAAAATCTCACCATAATTTAAAAAATATTAAGAACTAGACGCAGACACACTCCATTTGAATTAACATCAAATGTTCAATAAATATACAAGATTAATGTTAAAAATATGAATAAATAGGACTTGTTGCTAGTATCTATGAATATACGTGTATATGTACAATATATGTTTGTTCATATGTATGTATTTTATATATGTAGATGTGTGCATTTATGTGTATGTATGCCTAAATTGCAATAAATTATATTACCTGTATTAGGATACTATAAAATTAACTATATTATATAACAAATGATAGTTTGCCTTAAGGCAGGCCCATGATGGGACATCACCACAAATCAATGATTTTCTTTCTCAAATCAATGATTTTCTTGTTTGTTTGTCCCATTACCATTTCACTAATATCATTCGCTTTTTATACAATTTTAAGCATTTTTCTTTACAAATTTTTGCTTCCATGTTTCTTAGTCCTGTGTTTCGGCATTCCGTTCCCTAAATTTTTTCCCACGTAAGTCATCAATCATCTGCACTCTTTTTCTTTCCAATTTTCTTTTAGTCTATTTTATCTTCGTGTACGAACCACTTTTACTGCAGATCGGATCCAATCTAGTTTCCTACCCTTTTTAGGATTGTATTTAGTATGGTTCTTTCTTCTACCACCTCCTCAACACTTTTTCATTTGATATCTCATCTGCCTACTGTATTTTTTTCATTTGACTCTAGGACCATATTTCAAAAAGTCTCTAGATTCTTTTTTCGTTTTTTCTTAGAGTCCATGTCTCTGATCCGTAAAGGGTGAGGCTCAGCTCGTCAGTAGCTTTCTCTTTTTTGTGAACGCGCTTCTGCTCTTTCTATCCTTGTTCTGATCTCTCTCGTGCAGTATCCATCTTTGATCAGGATTCCTGCCAAATATTTGAAATGATTCTCGTTTTTCAACTTTTAATTTTCTACTCTTATCCTTAGTGGTTCAACCTTCAAATATTTGAAATGAATATGTTTTTTTTCTCAATAAATTTTTTATCGAAGTGGCTTTGTAGTAAACGGTTGTCCAACCTGTATGTAATAAATTTATTACTACAATCTCTGTAATAATGGTGAATTTTTCTTTGATTCACCAATACCGGGTATGTTTACTTTAGTCACTACTAATTGATTCCAGACAGTTTCGGACATGAAACTTCTGAATTTAAACAAAAGCTAAATTGGTTTTGTGCTAGTTATGGGCCGATTCTGTCGCAACAGACCAATGTTATGGCAAGGCCAGGTTACGCTTTATTATGCTACTGAATCATTCTGAATACTGTCAAAATGTCATGTATTTGCTGTGCGTTCAGGAGTTTTACACATAAACTGCAACGTCACTTGTATGTTCTGAAGCTGGGTCAGAAAGACCCTGTTATCTAAAATCGTTTTTTTGACATTTGTGCGGTTTCTAGGTTAGGTTTTCTATCTGGCAACCTGAGGAAAACGCCTGACTGCACAGCAACCACATGGCTTTTGTCAATATTTAGAACGGATTAGTATGGAAGGTCTCCATAACATAGCCTTGCCATAACATTGGTCTGTTGTGCGACAGATTCGGTCCATTACACCATATATTACCGAAAACCTTCACTTAAATTACTACTATTTGATATTAGAGTAAATACAAAATAAGGACCTTTTTTAAACTAGGACCAAAACTTGTGCTTGCAAGACCAAGGCTTTACAACTTACGCCACGTACATCCCAAAAACTTCAAATAGACGTATCTATCATTGTAAAAACCCAATGTAAGGATATTTAAAAAAACAATGAATTTCTTATTTCATCGAATTAGTATGAAAAGTTCTTCATAACATAGCCTTGTCATAACATTGGTCTGTTGTACGACAGAATCGGCCAATTACACCATTATTCCCGAAAATCTCTACATAAATTACTACTATTTGATACTATTGAGCATACAAAATAAGGACCTTTATAAAACTAGTATCAAAACTAGTGCATGCCAGACCAAGGCTTTACAACTTACGCCACGTACACCCCAAAAACTCCGTATAGATATATCTATCATTGTAAAAACTCAATCTAAGAATATTTCGAAAAACAATGAATCTCTTATTTCATCGAATTAGTATGAAAAATTCTTCATAACATAGCCTTGTCATAACATTGGTCTGTTGTGCGGCAGAATCGGCTCATTACACCATATATTCCCGAAGACCTTCACATAAATTACTACTATTTGATATTAGGGTGCATATAAAATAAGGACCTTTTTTAAACTAGGACCAAAACTTGTGCTTGCAAGACCAAGGCTTTACAACTTACGCCACGTACATCCCAAAAACTCCAAATAGATGTATCCATTGTAAAAACCCAATGTAAGTATATTTGTAAAAACAATGAATTTCTTCCTAATCAGTAATGAGTACGATGATGTTTTGATCGAATGTTTGTACAACCTTTGACTGTGTTGTCCAGTTGGAAATCGCATCAGCTACATCGAACACATCGGGTCAGTCGATGAACGGTAATGTGTTAGTGATGATATACGAAAATATGTTAGAAATTAGATTCTAGTGCACTAAATTATTATTGATTCACTAAATTTAAGTTTTATGTTATGTGCAGTGAGTGATTTAGCGATTTTTGTGGTTGAATAGTTCAAATAAAAACTCATGGTTTACATGTGATCGCTAAATATGGTAAGTGGAGGATAACTGACCAAAATAATACATAGACATTACTTTGTTTGCGTACTAATTTTTTGGTTTTCCTGATAAACTTAGCCTGTAGGAAAATTGAGCCACCACATGTCCAATGCAGTTATCAAAAAAAAAAAATATTTGATTGCATCTTGATTGCTGTTTTTAAAGAAAAAAAAGTAATCCAAATACGATTCGTATAAGTTTATGCATAAGTACCATTTTTTATAAATATATCAAATGGCAAAAACAATTATATTCTTTAAGCCCTAGGGATGTATATAATTTTGATTCAGTTTGTTTTTCTGGATAGTTAATTTAGTTTATGATTTCATTTCAATCAATTTTGCTCTGATAAACTATGCCTGATAAATTTTGAAAAAAATCTCCTCCAAATAGTTATTAGTTTCCATGTTTTATTCCAACTTTTCCAAGTTTATGTACAAATCCTAATTTTTAGGCAGTACTTAGAATGTCTAAATCTGATGCCAACTTTTTATGGTTTCTTGGTTCTTTGCATAGATAAATAAGTTGGTTGTTTGATCATCAATAATTAGAATATAGTGTTTTATAAGCTAATTAACAATTTAGCAATTAACAAGTATATATTTTATAAATTATGTAGTGCACTTTTTACTATGTCGTACATAGTTGTACGTAGTTTGTTTTTCTGGCTAATTAATATTATTTATGATTTCCATTCAATCAATTTTGCTCTGATAAACTAAGCCTAAAAGTCACGAATCATTTTATGAACGAATTTGGAAAAAAATCTCCTCCAAATAGTTACAATTTTAATTACACGTTTTATTCCAACTTTTCCAAGTTTATGTACAAATCCTAATTTTTAGGCATTACTTTGAATGCCTGAAACGGATGCCAACTTGTCATGGTTTCCTGATTAAACAACCAATAATAATTAAAATTTCATGAATAATCAGAATATACAGAGTTCTATAAGCTATTTTAATAATTTTGTAGATATTCTTAATCTCAAGTATATTTTTTGTCATGTAATTTCTTCACTTCTTACTATGTCGTACATAGTACGTAGTTTGTTTTTCTGGTTAGTTGATATTATTTGTAATTTCGATTAAATTTTGCTCTGATGAACTAAGACTCAAAGAAAATTAAACCACAAATTATTTTATGCACTATTTTGAAAAAAATCTCCTCCAAATAGTTACCAAGTTCATTCTATGTTATATTCAAAGTTTTCCAAGTTTATGTACAAATCTCAATTTTTTGGCAGTACTTAGAATGTCTAAATCGGATGAACACATAAACCAACTTTTATGGTTTTTTGGTTGTTTATTCTAGAAAAATTAGACTATATAATGTTCTATAAGCTATTATATCAATTTTGTCAACTTTCTTAACAAGTATATTTTTTGTGATGTAATTTATATAGTGTACTTTTTACTATGCCGTACATAGTACGTAGTTTGTTTTTCTGGTTAGTTAATATTATTTATGATTTCAATTCGAGCAATTTTACTCTGATAAACTGAGCCTCCAAGTCACGAGTTGTTCTATGAACTAATTTTGAAAAAAATCTCCAAATAATTACCAAGTTTGTTCCCAATTTTTTGGCAATACTTAGAATGTCTAAATTGGATGCCAACTGTTTATGGTTTCTTGGTTGTTTGTTCATGAATAATTAGAATATGTAGTGTTCTATAAGCTATTATATCAATTTTGTAAACTTTCTTAACTACAAGTATACTTTTTGTGATGTAATTTATATAGTGCACTCTTTACTATGTCGTACATAGTACGTAGTTTGTTTTTTTCTGGTTAGTTAATATTATTTGTGATTTCAATTCAATCAATTTTGCTCTGATAAACTAAAGAGAACTAAAGAATTAAGCAACGAAAAATATTATGCACTAACTTTCAAAATAAAATCACTTCCAATTTACTTCTATAAGTTATTATAACCCATTTAAAGACTTGTTTAACTACTTGGTGTAATTTATTAATTATCTACTGTGGTGCACTTTGTACATAGTTATACGTGATTTAAGTTTTCCTGGATAGTTAATTTTATTTATGATTTCAATTAAATTAATTTTGCTTTTATAAACTGAGCCTCCAAAAAAAATAAGTCCCGTAATATCTTTTTTTTCATTATTATTATTTTTTTATTGACTTTGTAGATATATACATTAGCCATTTTTAATAACAATAATTATTCTGTACAGTTATTATGCAATATTTATAATTTTGTGTTGCTAGATTTAATAAAATTATACAGGGCTCCATATGTTTTTGTATTTACCGACAATAATGTAAAATTAGTTAGAAGAGAGATTTTCAATCTTATTATCTCCTACCAAAATTCCAGTCTATTCTTTTCCCATCTTTTGCATTCCATGATGACATTTATTTAATTTCAATCCAACAAATCAAATGACAATTCTATGCCAGTGTCAGGACTCGAACTGAGTATCCCTGGCATGTAATTGGGCATACTACTGTCTGAGCTATTCTTGCCACACGAAATATCTTATGCACTATTTTTAAAAAAATCATCCAAATAGGTACAATTTTTTAACTTCTCTTAGGGTAAGTTAAGGTAATCGCAAAAAAATCTGAAATGAAAATTTACTACGTTTACTACTTACTTATTAAATACTTTACGTTTTAGAGATTTCTGAACATTTTGGCATACTTTAGAAAAAATTGATGTATGTGTATGTGTGTGCGTGGGTGTGTGTGTGTGCGGATACAAATTTTCGTCGACGATTTCGGGAACACGATTCAACCGATATCAATTATTCAAATAAACATTCGATTCGTATTGATAAGGAGACGTGCTGATTAGTTTTTGGCGAAGGCAGGTCTAGCCGTTTCGAAGATACGGGTCAAAAAGTGCAAAAAACGGTAACTCGGTTTTTAAGAGAACGGAGCGTCCGATTTGAATAATTCAAAAAACATTTTATTTGTATTGATATAATGAAGAACTGGTAAGGCAGGTCTAGCGGTTTCAGAGATGCGGTTTGAACTAAATTGTTTTATGCAATTTTTTTCTGATATTATCGTGGCGATTAACGTGTTAAACATCTGAATATTTCTCCAGATATCAAAACTCATTGCGTAAACTTATTTATATGTATAAATATATAAATTATTAATTTCTATAATTAACATTATATGCGTAAATATATAAAATAATGATATTTGCATAAATAACATAAGAATAAATAACGTATATAAATGAAAATGTAAAATTAACATTTTACTCAATGATATCTTATCTAGATTAAAACTGTTTTTGAGAAATATTTAATTGTGTGGCTGTTGTTCCATAGTCAGAGCTTTGGTCGTGCAACTACAGCTTCCAGATTATATACCTGACTTGGTCAACTTGATATCAAGCAGTAGTGGTATCAGTTTTCACTTGAAAATATAGGTTTGGATTTGATATAAAACGAAAATAGTATTTCTGGGCACTGCTGCAAAATATTATAACATACTTCTATTAGAAGTGTCTAATGTTATTCTCGTCACAAATAGAATTTATTTCTGAGATAATAATAATCTGCTCCATTCGACAATGTCAATAGTAATTTGTATTTATTTAACTAATTGTAATAATTTATTAGAGTTTGAATTTATAAAATAAACTTTTTGAGAAATAATTAGGTTAAAATTCTTCGTCCTTTTTAAAAGTATCGATTAATCTTATTGTTTACACTTTTCGAGAGTTTATACAACTTGCCAAGGTAAAATGCCACTTACACCTAGTTTATAATTTTATTTCCAAAATTTACTATAGGAAGCTAACATATTTTTATCATGTTTTAAAATAATAATAATAATAATGGGTAGTACTGCCCTAGGGGCAGTTCATGAGCTGAGTTAAACTCCGACTCGATCCAGGGAAGAATGGTGTGAGAGATTTCTCATATTTTCAATTAAAAATGTGTTAGAATGATTTATCACTACTGCATGATATCAGGTTATCCAGAGCGGGGGTTTAAATTCACGGCCTTGTTTTTAAACCATCTGAACTTTTTTGCATACCTTAGAAAAAATGTGTGTGTGTGCGTGCGGGCATGTATGTGTATGTATGTATGTGGGGATACTATTTTTCGTTCGCGATTTTGAGAACACGGATCAACCGATTTTAATGATTCAAAAAACATTAGATTCGTATTAATAAGGAGACGAGCTGATCTGTTTTTGGCACAGGCATGACTAGCCGTTCCGAAGATACGGGGCAAAAAGTGCCGAAAACGGTAACTCAGTGTTTAAGAGAATGGAGCGTCCGATTTTAATAATTCAAAATTCATTTTCCTTGTATTGACAAGATGAAGAACTGATTAAATTTTCGGGAAGGCAGGTCTAGTGGTCTCGGAGACCCAATGGAAAATGTAAACAAAAATGCCATTTTGCGGTCAAAAAAGATCATTAGACATAGGCACATTAGTTCTATTCTATACATATACTTCATTCTATTCATTAGTTTAAAATCTATTTTCTCTAAGGTTTTTAAAAAAATTGAAGCTTTTTTTAAAAATTTAAATTTTTGGTACGCAATGTTCCAGCAATTTGCCTGCAGGTACGATGCCATGCTCCACTAGTTTTAGTATTAAATCATAATTTTTAAAATAAAGTATCATACGTATTATTAAAAAAAAGAACATGTAAAATTTATATACAAAACCTATCCTAATCAACGTGGAACCATTTCTGTCAATTTCTGTTACATGTAGACAATTATGAAATGACTTTTAGATGTTCTTGATTTTTTAATGTAAGTTTACAAAATTATTGATAACAACCAGCACGATATTATTATCTTCAATGATTTGAACTCTCTGTACAGTTTGTGTGGCGTAGTTTCTCAGAATTATGTTGTAAAACATCATCTTCAAACCGCAAATAAACAAACTACATTATTATTGTTTGAATGACCGCAGATTTTTCAAGCAAAAACTTCCATTCATAAATGTTAATGATATACCGGAAGAGAAGTAATAGTAATAATTGTT